GACACAAAAACATTAATCCAAAAGGGCACCTGCACCCCTGTTTATTGCAGCACTATTCACAATAGGTAAGCTATGGAAACAACCCAAATGCCCAAAAATAGATGAGTTGATCAAGAAGATGTGGTACATATACACATTGGAATATTACTCAGCAATCAAAAAAGATAAACACATGCAATTTGCAGCAACACGGATGGAGCTGGAAAGCATTGTGCTCAGTGAAATAAGCCAGAAAGAACAAGAAAAATATCAGATGGTTTCACTTAGAGGAGGAATGTAGAGGATCCAAATAAGGAATTGGGTGGGGGGAGTAATTATAATAAAGTAAAAATCAAAATCAACAGGCAACTATAAATCAGAGACATTCTGCAGGCGGGGAGAAGGGAGTAGGATCAAAACAGGGGTGGGAAGAGCACAAGGGACCATGGTGATGGTGCACGGGTGAATGGGTGGTGGGAATTTCATGGGAACTACAACCAAGATAAAAATTCATACATTGAACAAAAATGAAAAATGATGTAAAAAAAATATAAAATTAAAATAAATAAAACAAGAAAAGTTTACTGCTTATGAAAAGTTCCCTTCTGGTTGAAGCAACTGTCCAGGAAAGCTATCCTAGGGTTTCTGTCATCTCCACATGAGGCCCCCTGAGTCAGAAACTCAAGGAGAGAAGGCTGAGGGTCACGCAAGTCCTTTCATTGCCCCCACCTAGAAGCCATGCATGTCACTCTCACCCATTTCATTGCCAGGAGTCAGTCACACAGCCCTGCCTGCCACAAGGGATAGGGAAGTCTAGTCTTATGCTCCCCAAGGAGAAGGGACACACTCTCCCTCTTTGCTTTCATACCCTCCACAAAGGCACAGAGTTGGTTCCTAGTATTCAGGGATAAGCTAGACCCCGTCCCTGTCCAGGAAGAGCCCTCATCCTTATGGAGGAGACAGGATCTACAGAGTTGACATTAACGCAATGCATACTGCAATTTGTAGTCTAATCCAGCAGTAAGTGTGGGGCTTTGAGAGTGTGAATAAAAAACAATTAATTACATCAGGGGGCATAAAAGGAGATTTAATGGAAGTAGCATCTGAGTGGAAATGAAGCAAGCTTCTACTTGTCACCCAACAAAAGTACAGTGGGACAATATCTGAGAAAATAAAAGCAGCGGGGGAGACTGCTGAGTACCCAAACTTCTTCCCAGGCTGGTACCCAAGAGCAGAAAGAAATGAGGAAGCCATGGAGGAAAATCCTGAAGCTGCCTGTGTCCAACTCACCCTTGCAGAAAATCTTGTGTTTGAAACATAAGTGTGTGCACATACACAGTTTTTATTTCAACACAAATAATACCCTTTCCTCCATAACCGCCAAGTAAATTTAACACTGAGTTAACCTCATTTTCCTGTGGTTTCTTGGAATCTTAGCTGAACCTTAGACTCTTAGGACACTCTAATGTACAAGGCACTGAACTGAAAATAACAGAAAATAAAAAAATTGGGATTATTGCCCCGATTTTGCCAAGAACTATCTGTGTGGTTTTTAGTTTGTCCACCTGTAAAATTAGACTATATACACCATTGTCAAAGTCTCTTTCCATAATGTTTCTCTGGAGTGATAGTGAAACTTTGAAAATGTATGTAGCTGATGATAAAATGCCATCAACATTTGAGGTAGATGCTATGAATCAGTTCCCCAAGGCCCTGCACCTCTACCCTTTCAGTTAGAGAAGTTGAAAACTGACTACTATGCTTCCAGCGTCTCCCGCAGGGAGGGTTCTGCAGGAGGCATAGCCATCTCCTAAAAGGTTTCCAAGGCAGGAGGGAAGCAGAGACCACCTGCTGCTCCTCCTGGCTCTTTTCTTCTGGCAAACACAGTCCAGGAAATGTGAGTTTTCCACACTGGCATTCCAGGGTCCATTCTCCAGCTTCTGGACATCATCAAGAGGCAGTGCCACCTTGGCAGCAATGATGGCCTCTTCTTGACTCCCCATTTCTGGACCATGAGCTTGAGATGTGCTCTTGAACAGGCCAAAAGTGGCATATTGTTGGTATATTGGTGGCTCCAAATGTGGACTCACCCAATGTTCCATTACATAGTTGCTGAATGTCATCTCTGAGAATCCAGCCTAGTAGTACCTGCCCAGCGGACTTTACAAGCACCAGATGCCCCATTAAATTCTCTACTGAGGGCCTCCCTGGTGGCGCAGCAGTTGAGCGCTGGGTTGCGAAGCTGCCTGCAGCCTCTGCAGCGCTGGTTCGATCCCCGGCTGCTCCCCGGCCACCAGAGGAGGGTCCCACATGGCGCGCAGACCTCTCCTGCCGCCCACTGCTCCCTTCAGCAGTGTACTTCGGTCCTTCTGCCTGCTCTGCTCCCGGCTCTGGCTCTGGTGAATTCTCTCACCCTCCCGCGCTTCTGACTGTACCCAGTGCTTGTGTAAATAAATGAATAAATCTTTAAAAAAAAAAAAAAAAGAAAGAAAATGTCCTTTAAAAAATAAATAAATAATAAAAAAATAAATACTGAATACCTACAGTGGGCTCCATTTAATCTATTAATTAAACAACCCTCTGTCCTCCTGACTTCTGAAGCAGAGTTCCAGGCAAGATATCCCAGGTTTTAGTAGATATGTGGTAACAAGCAGGTGTTGTAAGGAATTACCTTCCTCATGTTCTGAACCTTCAGCTGGGGCTGTGCTTTAGAGCTCCGACCTTTTGTATTGACAAAAAACTCTGAAGAAAATCATCCAAATCAGAGCACACTCAGCATGAAGACCTGCCTGTCAGTCTTCCCAACTTCAACCATTGAAAGGGAGGCTTCTCCCTGAGCAAAAGTGGCCTGAGAGAGTGTGAGGCAGACAGCTGAGGGAAGAGAAGGCTAACTTTTCCCCCCTGGAGCCAGGGTTTTGATCTTAAAAGGGAGCTGTGCTTTGGGAAGAAACACTCTAACCCCTTGGGCATCAACTTCCAACCAATCCCAGCCCCGGGGAGAACTTACGTTGCATCTTGGGTGAAACACAGGCATCTGGAGGGTCCTTCCCTCATGGGACCCGCTTCCTATTTATGTTCCTGCATTTTTCTTTCACTTGCTTCCTCTCCTGTTCCCCAGTGTTCCCTCCACTTTTCCCTTCTTCTTCCTCTCCTTCTACTGCGTTCTCTCTCTCTCTCTTCTCCCTGTTGCTCCTTCTGCCTTCCCTTTTCTCCCCTCTAGGCAGCATTCATCAGGATGAAATGTGGAGGAACCAATTAAACTGCATTAGGAGCATTTGTCTCCCATGGAAATCTCCTGGTTATTCCCTCTCGACCAGATTCAGCCAGCGGATTGTCCATGTGTTTGTTGTCTTCCTTTCTTGGCGAAGTGCTTGAGGGATGTGTGCTGCTAGGCACATTTAATTATTTATTGTTAACTATCCTGCGTTCATCCTTTTTTCACCAAATAATTCCACACAATTCTCAGTAACTAGCTAGCTAAATTTCTCTTTGTTTCTTTTATGTAAATGGACCTTGGCAAACTCTATTTCTAAAATGTTTTCTGCTCCTCTTCTAATGGCTCCTGGCTCTTATCTCTTGACCTTTGGCTCATCTGGGAAGAATGCAAAAAGGACATTGCTTTGTTTTCAGAACTCTTCTGTCATGAAGATTTTTTTTTAAATTAACTGTTCTGCCCTTGTTTTCAAAATCATCCATAAAAACAGGCAGAGAATCCTAGTGGACCACACTGGTCCTTTCATGCTGGGTCTTGGCATCTCAGAGTTCTGTGATAAATCAGTAAGTCTGGGAGAGACCGCGTGTCTTTGTCCCATGAAGTTTTGAACCTGAACCTGCAATCCTTTCCCAGTCTCATTGGTCAAAACTGGGGTGTAAAGGAAGTGGAGATATCCAGTTGTTGACATTCATGATAAAGAGCATTATCTGCCTGGTCACTACCGGGGGTGGGGTTGGGGTGGCGGGGTGGAGGGGGCATTCATTATTCACAGTGAGGGAAAGTCACACTCTAGGTGTGCAGCCTCTGACATGATTCATAATGATTCTAATTCACATCACAGAAACATCAATACTTCAGTCATTTGTCAAGAGTTTGTGTGTGCCTGTGTGTGCACATGTGCATGTGCATGTGCACACATGTGTATGGCATAAAGGTTCACATGTTCCAAAGAAGAAAACCAATATCCCAATGTCCCCTGGGAAGCTTTTGCAATGGCCACAATAACCAGTGGAACTGCAAGTGTCTACCTGTCAACGTTGAGTTGAATTATAAAATCTGAACCAACCATTCTGAATGCATCAAACTAGTAAATATATATTGACAGAATTTAAGCAGAATGGTCACTTCTTACAGTGCCAGCAAATGCAGGCAGTCTCTAGTTTCTACCCGTCTTGCCACAATAGACATTTCACTTTTTTTGATTTTAAAACTATCAAAGAGTATCAATACAGCATTTTTTATCCCTCCAAACTGCAATTTCCTAGTACCAAAAAAAAAAAAATTCCAAATAACATCTTCACTAAGCAGGGTCGGTCTTCATTTTGCGCCACACTCCTAGAAGGCACTATTTCTAAAGTGTGGCATCTTAATAAGCACATTGCCTTGCATTGGAGCCACTCGTTTCCATCCACAGACTACTTTCTTATTTATGACCTCATTTATTTGGATTCATACAACAACCCCACAAAGCAGGTACTGCTTTTGCCTTCATTTCCCAGATGCTTAATCTGAGAGTTGGGAAATGTAAGGGACATGCCCAGGGCCTCAAAGCCAGTTAGAGAAAAGTTGCTGTTCCCTCCTCATCTCTCTGACTTGGAGCCCACCACTCCCCTCCATGGGATGTGTGATAATGAGACTATACTTCTAGCAACAGGGAGATAAGTGGGAGACCTCAGGCTTCAAATCACCTTGAAGGGCTCGCTCTTCTGCATTCCTTTTCATTACCTTTCAAAAATGGTCACATAGTCAAGAAATAAGCCAGAATACGCTGAGCAGGACCTTGCACCATACCCTCCCACCTCCTCACCTCTTGAGTCCATCCAGCCATGATTCATACTTGCAAGGTCAGGCCCTGAACCTTCTGCAGAGCAGGCAGCTACTCTTCCCAAAGCATAGCCATAAATCCATAGAAGTCAAAGATCTGGGGGAAAAAAAAACAAGGATTTTGATCACTAAATCATCAAAGTATCTTAGCTGACTAGCTCCCCACATTCCTAGAGAATTAGGAGAGATATATCCTTCCCTGCACTTGACCTAATATCTTAAAAATAATAGTTAACATGGCTTGGTGATAACTAATCACCGAGATACATTCATGTGTATCCCTCTCAAAATATGGGGTGCAAAAATAAAAGACATGAACAAGAAAATAAAGCAGCAAGTGTTGAAAGCTGCATAGGCAATTTTTAAAAAAGCAATGAAAAAGAATTGAGGGAAAGAAAAGTAATGTTCTAATAGATGGAGAAGATGACAGAAGAACATCAGGGTGCCAGTTGAAATGGCAGGTTACTTATGTCTAAGGTAGATGCGTCAATAAAACTTCCTGCCACCTTCTCCCCAATATTTGCTTCAGGGTGGCCTGGAATTTTCCAGTCAGGCTAAAGCCCAGAGTCATTCTATTTTCACTGAAGCTCTGGTCTCCTATGAATCTGAGACTTTATGGTACTCCACAGGCAAATAAAGCACTGATTGGTGCTTAATAAGGAGTGTATGTATTAGAGAGTAGGACCTGGTTGATTGCAAGTGACAGAAAAATTACTCAAAGCTGGTTGAAACGTAATGCAAGAGAGTCCAGGGGAGGAGCCAGCCCCAGGCAATGATGGAATATGGGCACTGAAACATTTTCATTAGCTCACTCTTACTACATCTCTTACCCATCCCCTTTCTCTATCCCTTTTCTCACCATGCAGATTCTCATCATGTTGCCCTCATTCTCTCCTTAATGATATTTCCTTCCTAAGTAAGGACAGACCCAGAGAATCCTGGGGAAGGCACAGGTAAATAACTCCAGGCTTATACCTTCTCAGCTAGCAACCTGAGAGGGATAAGAGAGTGTGTCCATAAATAAGATTCCATGGAAAAATACTCACTGACCTGGTCTGAGTCTCAAAACCCATCCCTTGGCCAGTCACTATTACTGAGAGATAGGGGTGCTGTGGTGAACCAGGTCTTAGTCACAAGACCACCTCTATGCACCCCGTTTACTGAAGTTGTCTTCCATCCAGAGTCCAGTAAAATAATACAAGGGGAACACTCCCTCCCTACCCCACCCCCATTAAAAGAGGGACTAATGATATCAGAATAAATTTAGATGAAGGAACTAAGAGAAAACAATGTCTTCCATAAGACACAGTCAGACTGTGGGTCATGCTGATTTTCCAGCCCAGTCTTCCCAATGGAAAGTCAAGGACTGAAGAACATGCACGAGACTGATCCTGCACTGTATTCTAGATGGTCCACTTTTTCCAGAGAAGGAAATCTAACACATTGTCCAGCTGGGTTCTACTGAAAACTACGAGTTGCCACATTCTGACAAATCTTTGGAAGTCAGACTCTTCTTTAGTCTACAATTCTACATAAATGTCATTTGTGGATGCCTAGGGAAAACTAAACTCTGACTCTGCCATTTAAGATGTCTTTTGTTTAAAAACATAGATGAACCCTGATAATGAAGCGAGTGTAATCATTCCCCAATGCATTACAAACACATCAGGCTGGAAGCAAAATAGGGAACATGGGGGATAGGGAGAGAGTAGGAAAGCAGTTGCTGCCTTGATCACATTCTTCATAAGTGGCCTTTAGAAACAATTTTAAAGGTAATGAATTAGTTGTAAAACTATAATAAAAATAAATTAAAGTCAAAGAGTTAAAGCAAGGCTTGAAGACACAGAAATAAAATAACCAAAGGATGGCATTGACTTTATATACTGGTTCTCCAGGGATCTGGCAGCTCAGGCCTGGCCCCAGGCTTCACCCCCTGCCTTTATAAGAAGCTGTTTATTGCTCTGAACCAAATCTATGTTTGTGCCAGAAAAGTGAAATGGAGCATTAAGACCATTATTTGGATACTGGAGAGGGAACACACACAGCAAAGAAATCTAGGGGAAGTTCTACTCATTTGAATTAATTGAGATGAGCATTTATTTTTTGTTTAAATTGACCCTGTAATTGTTTCTACTTTTTTCCTCATGAGATTTGTAAAGACATAACCTCAAGGGCTTGTCCATTTACAGCAAAAAAGAACTCAGCACGACTCAAATGCCCTGTATCATTCACCCATGCAGGTCATACAATTGATTCTCTTGCAGAGACCGGCCATATGGATTGATTTAACAGCATTTCACCGGCTGCCTAGAGACAAGGCTTGAGTCATCCTGTATAAATTACTTAAGTCTCCACCACAAAAAGGGGGAAAAAAATGTTTTCTTGCACAGCAGTAGCAATTAATGTTCAACATGTTTATGGAGTTTAATAATATACGGCCCAGCACCGATCTCTGTATGCAATACCATTATGTTGAGAGAGAGACTTAGGTGGTGTCATCAACATGCAAGACACAGATGATTGATTCATCAATAACTGAGCCTGGCCTTATTACAGCAAACAAATTAGACATCGTGGAATATATTGCCATATAGACAGGACTTCCTTTTCTTTGAATATATGTCATAATTGATAGCGGTGACCTTTTGGCAAGACTGAAAAACAGCTTGCAATTAACAGGCTCCTTCTTCTTTTAGTGTCTGTACACATAAGTGGTCTTTTCAGGCTTGGCCCAGATCAGTGGAGTGGAGCAAAGTCTACACAACATCTTCCCAGGAAAGCGTTTGTCAGTAAGGTCAACCATTTCTTCATTTTCTCATATTTCACTGCAGAGTAATGCAAGAGGAAAGCAATGAGACAGATATTTATTGAGCGAGCCACTTCTATTCCCAGGCACTGTTCCAGGTATGAGGGATACAGCAAAGAACAAAACAAAAAGGAACTCCCTCCCTACCCGTGATGGTGGAGAATGACAATAGGCACACAAGCAAATGAGTAAGTACATTTTAAGTTCCGATACGTAGCCTGCAAAGATAAAATAGAACACTCTTGAAACTATGCATTTTAAGTGGCAAATAGGGATTTCAACAACAGGACATATTTCATGTTCTCAGCAACCACATGATTGAATTATCACCAATATATCCAGGATTCTGTTCTCTTCTTGAATTTTAAAAATATCATGCCAATTTTGGAAAGGGATGGATATAGGTCACAATTTGATAATTTTAAAAAATTTAATTATTTCAACATAATTATTGTGGAGTTCCACAATAGCCTAGATTCATCCAAAAAAAGGTGGATGCTAAAACAAAAATTACTCTGTACTTTTAAAAACCTAGTTATAATGCAAAAAACAACAATAATAATAATAATAATAGTACCAGGACACATCAGAATCATGGAATTACCTACATATACACTGAGCCATTTGTGAAATCATTTTATTCTCTTGAAAGTTTTAATCTCTATAGTGTGATATAAATGATGTCGACTTGGGCAAGATGAAATTCATATTTAAGTAAGTGTCCAAATAATTTAATTCTATTTTAAAAAGTCTTCAAGCGAAAATATTCTGTTGGGGCATAAGTCCTTCTGACATAAATTCTCTGTATCCTCCTTCAATTTCTCGCTCTAATTTCAGATATCACCTTGCCCTATTTAGACATAAAGTAAGAATATTCTAACCAGGCCTGTGGTTCTCAACCCTCATGGCAGTAAACTGAGACATTGGGTTTATTATGAGGTGTCCATCTCAGTAATTAATCTGCACTGACTTACCCTGCCCTGTTTCCCATAACAATCCCACCCTCATACCTGTGAATCCCATGTCCTTTTTGAGTCCTGGGAAAGGAGGAGCAGGGAGCAGTGGCTAGTAACCTGGGGCACATGTGACATTCTTGGAGAAACGATCTACAAGACACCATCACCTCTCATGTATGTCCCAGCCAAAAACACTCTGAGCAAATGCAGTTGCATGTTGCTTAACAACAGGCATATGTCCTGAGAAGGTGTAATTACACAAGCCGAGATGATGTTGCCAACACACACCTAGGCTATATAGTGTAGCAAGCTAGGAGCAGTCTTCTCTGAGATCAGAACAAAATGGCATGAAATGAAGTGAAAATACATAGATCAAAGGAATAAATGATTACACCAGGTACTGTGGGTTGCTTTTCTTTCTACCTCTCACTCATTTCCAGAGTGGGATGGTCCTATCCTTCCCTGCTCTGCTTGCATCACTGATGGGCTTCCAGCTGGGTGCAGCCAATGAGAGCAAATGGCAGAAGAATGTAGGGCAGAGGGTGGGGAGAAAGCACAGCATGTCTTCCTGCCTCTGTTTTGGGCATCATCTTGGCAGTAGAGGTTCTTGCCCTCGCCAGTTTGGCCTTCCTTGGTTCTAGCTTCCATCTGCAAGTCCCAACTCCCCCTTCCTCTCTATGTTAGAGGAACAACAGGGAACAAACCCTGAGCTTATGAATGAACTCCACCTCCTGACATTTTTACAGACTCCACCCCCATCTCCATGCTGAAGAGAGCCCAGGGTCTGAGGACTACAACTCCCAGCACGCCATGAATGTGAGCTTCTGAATGGGGCAGGGAGGAACTGGGAACTAGGGGAGGAGTTAAGCAGCCATGCTTGGCTTATAACTGAACACATGCATGCTCTTGCTCTCTTGCTTTTCCAGTTTCCACTTGAATCCAAGTACTTGGAAGAGACGAGTGGAGAAGAGACAGGTAGAGATACTTGGAAGAGATTCTTGGCACATATGTGGATGAGAGACATGTGAGGAGGCTGCTTCTGGTCCTTGGCAGAGACTATGGCAGCCACTACCTTGATGTGGTATATTTTGCCTTTTATTTCTCTATTTGTGTCCTAGCTCTCTGGAAACTGCCTAACCCCTTTCTTGTAACAGCCAGAAGGTGCCTTAGATTTGCAACAAAGTTTTGAATCTCAGTGGCCCACTTTAGGCCACACCTATTTGACTGGGCATTTGCCCATTAGGAGATAGGTAATCTTCAGAGTTTTATTGGGAAAACTAGAAATACCCTTTCTTTTCTCATTCTCTCTCTATGTACACCATCTCTACTAAAAATCTATCACACTAAGAATTTGCTTTCAGAGCAAACTGAGCAAAGATGGCCGAATCCCTTTTACAGCATTAGAGCAATCCCTTAACAGCTTGGGGTCCCTGCTACCCCTCAATCACAGGCTAACATCTAGAGTGGCAGCAACTCCTTGCTGTTGCTACTATCTGCCTCACCTCTCTGTCCCCTGCTCAGGTTCTCAGCTCTTCTATCATCTGCACAATGAACTCCCCACATTAAAGTTCCTCTTTATGATATTCAGAGTGGTTTGTGCTTGTTTGGATTACATATCAATTGATATCAAGGATTTGAAGGATTCAGTGCAGTGTATATTATGCACCTTCTGAATACTAAGCTTTGCACTACATACGAGGAGGTTGTGCCACATGGCCATGTTGTCTGCCCCCAAGGAGGTCTGAGTCTAGTGAACAGATCATTTCAAGATTATCTGGCAAGTGTTATAACAGGACCGAGGCCTGGGACTCTGGAGACACTGAGTCAAGCTCCTTTGCTGGATCTGAGGCTTAGGAAAGTATTTGTAAAGGAGATGATGGTTGAGCTGAACCTTGAGAGATGAGTTAACCAGCTGAAAGGATGCTGCAAAGTCTTTCAGACAAGGAATAGCATGAGTAACTGCACAAAAGCATTAACTCAAATGCTGTTTCTGGGGTTCATGTAAGGGTTGGGAAAAATGGGCAGGTGGGGACAGGAAGCAGGATGATATCATTAGCCCTCAAGGCATGAGGCCAAGAATAGGGAAGGAAGTCACAGACACAAGGCAAGAAGAGGTTTTCTTCAGGACACAATTAGGGGTAATTGATGATTTTTAAATCAGTGGAACTGCATGGTCACATTTACAATTTATAATTTAGATGGAGTGTTTGGGTCACAGTCTAAAGGGTAGTGCTGGAAAAAGCAGAATAGATAAAAGCAAAAAACATTACATGAGCCAAATCATACTAATAATTCAACTCAACCTACAAGCACTGAGCTCCTGGGAACCAGCCACTGTGCTGAAGCAAAGAAAAAGTGTGAAATTGTGCAGGACACATCATAACCATCCCTGACATTTGTGAGTCCTTTAAATTTACGAAGTCATTTAAACACATTTCTTCTCCTCACAAAAATCCCATGAGTTTGGTATCTGAGCTCCCATTTTTCAGATGAGAGAACTGTTTCAGAAGGTGAGAGAATATATCTAAGTTCATGAAAAAAGTAAGAAGTCTCCTGACTGCCAATATTAATAACATAATTTTCTGTTCCCCATTAGGTAGTAGCATAAACTGATGTCCCAGAAAACTGAGTTTTAGTCGCTGCCCAATGTAGGCACTCCCATATACACATACAGTGGGTAATTTCAGAATTACTGCATACCCTATTCTAGGCTTAGGCAAGTTTTGTGTGTTTGTGTATGTATGGTTTACCTCCTACTCCCAAGACTGATTCTAGGGAGTTGAGACTAACCATAGGTCACTGACTCAACATCTCTGGATGAGGACTGGCAGATGGTAGTCTGTTGCAGCAAGCAGAATTTCAGTCAAGGCTTGAATTGCCCTTCCTTCCTTCCCCAGCATAACAGGGATGTGAAGATAGAGGATCTAATCCTAAAGAAAGTAATCATACCAGTATTTGAGGATGGGGTCAAGATGATGGACATTACAATCCCAGGCTTCATACTAGTATGTGATCAATTCTTATCTTGTCCCTAGTGGCAACTCTGCTCTTCAGAGGAACAGACTTATGTTCTGATTTTCCAGGTCATTATACCTTCCTCTTGCTAATGCTGATACCCACTCGTGGCAAAATACTAGTATTGCATTGTGATACAAACTCCCCATTCCCAGGAGGGACTGAAAGGAAAAGAAACTATGGCACTAAAAACCCAGACCCTATGCCACCAGTGTAATTATCCTGAGGAAACCTGCCTCTCAACTCACCCAGGCCTTTGCGAGGGTTGCCCCTCCCAAGCCAGGAGCAAACATCTTGGCACACCTCCCGAGTCCCAGCCAGTGCCAGTCCCACCCTGAAGGACTCCCATCAGGAGTAGGCAGGCTTGGGCAGCCCTGACTCTGCCCACATTCGAATGGCTTTTGACTTCTCTGTGCATACGTTCCAACTCTGCATCTTCGTCATAAATAAACTCCCTGTCATTACAGAGGAAGTGGAAGCTGGAACAGTTCTTAAACAGTATCACTTGTCGCTGGACCATATGTCATGAGAATATTCGTGAAAATAAGACTCTAATTGACTAAATGCTTTGTAAGTACAAGAACCTTTTGTATCTTATCTCCTATTACACCTCCTGCATCTAGTACCTTTGCTGCCCCATAACAGGCACTCAATAAATGATAATAGCTAACATTTATCAAGCGTGTATTGTGTTCCCAGACACTGTTAGAAGAATTTTACACACACTGAAGCTCATTTAATTCTCAAGCAATCCTATGAGTTAGGTAGTAAAGTGTACAATGCAAGAGACAGAATCTGAAGCACAGATCAAGGATGTCATTTGCCTCAGAACATGCAGATCATAAACTTGGAATGTAAACCCAGGCAGTCTAGACAAAGAGTCAGAGCTCATAACCACCAGGCAACACAGCCTGTCATTGACTCAGTCACTAGGCATCCCCATCTGTCAAGGAAGATTAGATTTCTCTTTCCCTTCTAGCCTCCCCCCAGGTGAGTGAAACACTGCCTTCTCACCAGGTAACAGACCATCCTCCAAGGAACTGGACTCTCACGCTTTGCCAGTGGTTTTCTATCTTGGGGTAAGAAGACTTCTGTGATCCAGGCTGCTTTCTTGCCTCTTCTATGAACCTGCAGTTTGCTGTCTCCCGGTCCCCCTTATGGGCACAATGCCCATAAGTTCCCTGAAATAAAACAAGGTTGTTAGATGGCAATTTGTCACTTTTAGCAAAGCCAGCATCTTTCAGGGTGGCCAGTCTCCTGGTAATAATGTTTCAGCTACATACTGATAGGAAATAATTCTTTTGCATGAAAAAGTTCCCCTTCTTCAAATATCTGTTCTTATTTCTTATCAAGAAAACTGGGATGGGGGTAGGGGAAATGTTCCCAATTTGGGTTGAATTTACACGGAAAGTTTCATATCTCAGTAGCACTATGGTCTTTAAATGCACATGTGTCTTTTATAGTGGTTACCCAGGTGATTTTTGTCTCTTCAGAACATTCACCTTCTGATCTGGTTTTAAAAGAGATGATACCACTAAAAAGCTGCTTTAAACTTGAAAGCAGACTCTCAATACTCAGAGGAAATGCTTATGAGGAAAAAAGATGATTTTGACCTATATAGGAACATTTTGGACTAAAGTGGTTATTACTCTCTAAGAGCCTTGCAAATAACCAACTTTTCCAGAACTGAAAGAGAAAAATCAGAGACATCATTTTTACTGAATCCTAGACACCTCCCTTTGTTTTCTAGCAAATTAAACACTACCTCAACCATCAGGTCTATAACTATAGTTTGACCTCCCAAGTTCTCCAGGCCAGCGCCAATTAGCTAGAGCCCAAATGATCCAGTTGAATAATCCTATAGATGACGCCACTGTAGAATGACAGATGCACAGACCCACGGGGGCAGATCATCCTTGTTCCACTCCACTCGATCCTATCCACTCTACCAGCAAGTCGTACAGCCCTACTGTCAAAATACAGTGTCTCGAGATTCTCCCTCATCTCCTGAATTCCCTCCAAATCAAGCTACTATCACCTCTCTGAGACCATGGGAGAAATTTCCAATTGTCAGTCTCTATGATTCCATCTTTCCTTTTTAACTGTTTTTTATTGAGCTATAATTCAAATTCCATCACGTTCACCCATTTCAAGGATATAGCTCAGTGGTATTTAGTATATTCAAAGTTCTGTAACCATCACCACAATCTAATTTTAAATCATCTTCATCACCTCAATAAAACCGTATGCCATTAGGGCCTCCCCGGTGGCACAGCGGTTGAGCGCTGGGTTGCGAAGCTGCCTGCGGCCTCTGAGACACCGGTTCAATCCCCGGCTGCTCCCCGGCCACCGGAGGAGGGTCCCGCATGGCGCGCAGACCTCTCCTGCCGCCCGCTGCTCCCCTCAGCAGTGTACTTCGGTCCTTCTGCCTGCTCTGCTCCCCGCTCTGGCTCTGGTGAATTCTCTCACCCTCCCGCGCTTCTGACTGTACCCAGTGCATGTATAAACAAAAAAACAAACAAACAAACAAATAAATAAATAAATAAATAGCATGCCTCTATATAAAAAAAAAAAAAAAACAAAAACCGTATGCCATTAGAAGTCACTCCCATTTTATTCCCACCCTCCCAATCTAAGAAATACACTATCTACTATCTGTCTTGCCTGCATGTTGAATACTAAGAATATGTGTTCTTTGGTGGCAGAATTCTTTAATACAACCTTATGTAGTTGAGGTTCATGCAAGTTCTAGCTTGCATCAGTGCTTCTGTGTTCCTTTTTTATTGTTCAATGGTATTCTATTGTATGGAGAGGTCATATTTTGTTTATTGATTCACAACTTGACATACATTTAGGTTGTTTCTACTTTTTTACTAATATGAATAATGCTGCTATGAACATCGGTATACAACTTTTTATGTAATTATATGCTTTCATTTATTGGGTAGATACACAGAAGTTGAATTGCTAGGTCATAAAGGCAACTCTGTTTTGGCTGTTTGGGGAACTGCCTACCTGTTTTGCTAAAGTGGTTACACCATTTTACATTTCCAGTCATTTCCACAACATATGAGGATTCCAATTTCTCCACATTCTCTCTGACGCTTGCTATTGTCACAATCATTTTGATGACCATCAACTGAGCATGAAGTGGTAGCTCATTGTCATTTTGATTTGCTTTTTCCTTATGACTAGAGATGCTGTAAGTCTTTTCATGTGTTTATTGTCATCAGTTCTTCTGTGGAGAAATATCTATTCAGATCCTTTGCTCATTTTTTAATTGAATCATTTATCTTTTTAATATTGAGTTGAAAGAGTCCTTTCTGTATTTGGATGTTTGTTCCTTATCAGACATATGACTTGCAAATATTTTCTTCCATTCTGTGGGTTGCCTTTTCACATTTTTGATCGATCACTTCCGGCATAAAAGGTTTTCATTTTTGATGAAATGTAACTTATCAATTTTTCTTTTGTCACTTGTGTTTTTGATGTCATATCTTACAAATCATTGCTTAGCATAAAGTCAAACTGGTTTATTACTATGTTTTCTTCTTAAGAGTTTTGTTGTTTTAGGATTACCATCTCAATAGAAGACCTCTTATATTTAGGTCTGTGATCTATTTTGAGTAAATTTTTGTGTATAGTATGAGGAAGAGGGTACAATTTCATTTTTTGAGTGTGGCTATGCGGCTGTCTCAGCATCATTTGTTAAAACTGCCGTTCCCGACCCCCCGCCCATTGGATTATTTTGGCACCTTTGTGAAAATCAGTTAACAACCAACATAAGGATTTATTTCCAGATTCTGAATCCTATTCTTTAACCTATCTGCCAATTCGCCTTCCAGTACACTATCTTGACCACTATATGTTTACAGTAAGTCTTAAAGTTAAGAAAGTGTGAGCTCTCCAACTTTACTCTTTTATTTCCTGCTTCTGCTGTTGCTGCACCCTGGTAATTGCTATAGTCACCCTAATATCTTCTGACTTAGTGTTTTAATAAACACATATATATTTTATATAATGATTTTAAGATACAGTTTGAAATTATATTCCAGCATCATTATCTTTTATAATTTCTTTTATGCCAAGAATTTTGTGGGACTTATTGCACTTAAAAACAATCCATTTTCTACTCCACAGTCATAACTGAATCACTTCCCTGCTGCCCCTTCCAGTTGCTTCTAATCACACAGAGGAAAATCCCTACTCTCACCCTAGCCCCTATATATCTCACCGACCCATGTACTCACTCATTCCACACCTTCTACTTCTAGCTTGATGGGCTTCTTTCTGTTATTAAAATGCCCAGGTCCACTCCACATTGGGGTTTCTGCTCTGGCTCCTCCTTAAGCCTACAGACTTTCTTCCTCCAGATCACTGAAGAGGGAACCTGTTTTATCAGCCAAGTTTCAGCTCCAGTCCAGACTTCCCAGCCATGTTTTTGTAACATCCACCCCTTTGTCTACCTAGTAAAGTCTATGGACACCTTCTCTGGATAATGTTTTTAAAATCTAAAATAGAATACAAGAAATTACAAAAGAGGCCAATGTCAGAATGCAGTTATCAAAATATGAGACTAACTAATCCTCTAATAATACATCAATTTCCTTTTTACAGTATTAAATAATAATATCTGGTGGGTGGTCTCATAACTATCATGATTTTGAAGTGGTAAGGGATGATCAAAGACAAGTTAAGATACCCACAGATACTGTAATATGACATAGAAATATCTGGGATTTCCATGGGTGGCAAGTCAGTGGCATCACTAATACCACTGTGATCTGTTGCCTATCAGAAGTGAACAAAATGCTTTATCTTAATCAGAGATTAAAGAAAATTAAATATTTTTTGTTTTTTAGCTATCAAGTTAAAAGTCACCCTAAATTCTCTCCTGCTTAAAACTTCAGTAGGTACCGACAGGGAATGGGAGTCTGCCTTCTCAACAAGTTCCCCTGGGGCTTCTGCCTCCAACAGTACTGTGCTTGACAAGGGGTGAAATGTGTCTTGAGGGGTATCACATGTGGAGTTTGGGGGAAGCATACCCTCTGAGCCAAATTGCCTCAAATCATCAGAGGATCCCCACAGTTATCATGGACTGGGGTTCAGGAACCTTTCAGAAGAGTCCTATTACAGAGTAGCTCTCTTTGGGGATCTGCTGAAGCCTGGGAGGAGCTGAGCACCAGAAGTCAGAGGGCGCATTGATCACCCGTCCAGCTGCTTACAGCCCTCGGGGCCACCACAGACCTGTTTACAGAGGAGGTGGCGTCCTTGGAAGTCAGCAAGGGCACGGGTTTCAGGACCAAGAGGTTGTCAGAACAAATTAAAAAGTTGGCGTGCTGAAGAAAATGAGCATGTTTGACTCCACACTACAAAAAGAAAGCTGTAAAATCTGAAATTAAAGTGTGCTTTGATTAAAAGAGGATGAATGGAAAATATAATAAACTAGCCAACTATAACTTTAAAAAACTAAATTGAATGTAAAATGATGCCTCAAGACATCAATGTGTCCAGAGATAACAAGGTCTGAAAATGTCTCTGCCACTTGCCCCCACCCAGAACCACCCCCCTACAAAGCCCACCCCACCCCAAACCAGCAAGCAGTCTGCAAGTGAGCTCCAGCTCTGTCATGAAGGAAACCTCAAAATGCAAGCTCAGAAAGATCTGGGAAGTCACATATTTCCTCCCCCCACCCTCTGCTGATGGTCTCCCCTCTCTATCCCTCAAGACACTGAGTAGTTCTGCTTCTCACTAAAATGTTGCTTTGAGCCCAACCAATGGTTAAAATCTCAACTGTCTAGAGGGGTCTAGAGGGTCATTTGACTCCATCAGCACTGTAGGCACAATATCAGGGCCTTGCACTTTTAGAGGGCCTATAATCATGTCTGAAAATGGGTGATGGGAGGAGGGAATATACCTATATTAATATATAACATCTATTAAATGTACATATATGTATATTACCTAAGCATATTGTTATAGATTATATATTATATGTTATATATCATACATTATTAAAGACTCTAAAATATGAAAACAAAAATAATTGAAATTATTAGAAAAAATAACTATGAAATACATACCAAATAATCTAGGGACAAAAATAGTCTGTGCTTAAATGTGGCATGTGGGTTAGATGTGTTGGATGAGGTGTGAAATGAGACTTCTAAAGGAA